TTTTTAAGGTTTAGGCTTGCAGCCTTTTTTTTTTTTTGTCTTCCCCCCCCCCAGTTTTGGTATTTACTTTGTAGTTGCAACAATTCATCTTTATTTAACAAGGTGAAGTTCTGAGCAATCTGGCGCACTTTCATCTGTTAATCTGCCTTATTACTGTGGTTGCCAACAGGTCACTCGTTGGCGATATTTTCTCCTCCATATGTCAAGTGCTGGTGATATCATCTAAAGTTTTATACTTGTCTGCTGCATAACATTGTCATTTTGAATTTTATTTTCTTATCTGATCATATATTTTGATTTTGTATAGTATGTGATATTTCAAAAGTATAGGCTCTGTTCTTCCATGATACTTCAAGGTATGGTGTCTCCAAAGGGACCAATTGGTTGAACTTCTTTTAGGGCAAAGACTGTAAAATACGCCTTGGAAAGTACTGCTTTAAAGAGGAATATCCCATGACGAGGTTTTAAATCTTCCTTACTCTAGAACCTTTTTGGGTTTCAGAGCTGCTTGTTTGCCTATTTTTGTGTGCAGTACTCTGAAACAATTTAAGTAAAAGCCACCAAACTAGTCAAATTTCTTCTAGTAACTACTTGGCAATTGCAGCATAGCCAACCTGGTTTTTGTGTGCTCTCAAATGCCCTATATATGAACGATACACGTATGTATTAGACACGTAACCATGAAGAAAACTAAATTGCCATTAATTATCTGCGTAGTGATATGTGGATGGTCGGATGTGCCTGCCCTATGTATCTATGCCTGTATGTATTTTTGTACTTTTTGTATTGAAAACCAAAAATAAAACTCTTATTTTAAAAAAAAAATGTTTTTATCTGCGTAGTGCATTGGCAGTAAAATGGAAAGTTTATTTGATGTTCTTTTTACGCTTGCTTCTCTTATCAATGCGTTTAATATTGTTTTCCAGCCACAGTATATTCACAATCCGACTCCTAAAGCTAAGCAGTGGTGATGATCCCAGCGTTCTTGGAGTGTCAGAGTAAGTGCAAATACTGCTTGTCTTGCATGTAACTGTATATCTCTGGTTCTTTACACATTTATTGCCACTTTCTCACATGTCATTTTGCTTTAGACTTGTGCAGGGTAAATGATTACCAATGATCTTCAGGGCCTTTTAAACTGAAGCTGTACCATAAAGTATCAGAATGGCCTGGTGCACAGGCAGGTTATTTGTCACACATTTTAACTGTTGTGTTTTTTTGCCCTTGTGCAGAATGTCACTGTGCGACTTGGCTGGATCTGAGCGTTGTAATAAAACACAAACTGTAGGCGACAGATTGAAAGAAGCAGGAAATATAAATAATTCTCTGCTCATCCTTGGGAAATGTATCGCGGCTCTGAAACACAGTCAGAACCCAAAGTAAGATTCCTTTTTCCTCCATTCTCTCCTTCCTAAGAGATTAAGTATTTTGTATCATTTATAGTGGTGTGTATATATAATGGGTAGTAAAGTTGTTTTTCTTAACTCTTGTAGTGGTATGTTGCTTGAATGGTTTTCTTCTATAAAGAACCGCAAATTTGTAACACCTTTTGTGATTGCAGCAAGAAAATTTGCATGTTGTTTTTTTTTTCCCTCCCACATACACTTGCATTGGCTGCTTGCTTACAATAAATGCTAGGGTTCACCCCAACCCACTAAGAAAAATCTACTTTTTGAGTACATGCTTGAAGACTGGTTTTTAATAAGCTATCCAACATGTCAACATTGTGCTTGGAATCAGCCATAACATAATATTTAAACTGTGCTTAAATGTTTGGCCTCACTATTAAAAATGGTGTATGTGTTGTTTTTTTTTTTTTATGGTGCTCCTGTAGCTTTTCCAATCCATGACCTACATGGTTATAGTAGACTGTATACATCTAGAGGCTTATAAATGTTCTGAATTGTGGTGGGTTTTAGACCAGCTTGCATTTGACAGTCATTAAACTATGTACACAAGCTGCAGTTAAAACTTTTTGAAAAACAAGAGCAAAGAAACAGTTGTGGGTCTAGTCGGCTTCTGAAGTTTGCTTTCTGTATGCTCAGAACACCCAAGAACAATACAGTAATGTATAGTAGCTGACCAGTTTTAGTTGGGGTGGCTGCATTGGGGTTTTTTTTTTTCAGGATTTTTTCACCTACTGATCTTGCCCATAACACTTATCCTGTCCTAATGTGGTCATGCTTACTTACTGTACTCTATGAAAAAGCAGCATTATCCCCCTAGGACAGGACTATGAACACCTCCCCACTCTTTCTTGGTCACATAGGGGTGTGTGCTGTAGTCCTCCGATATCTGGCTGGGGAAAGCTGTAACAAGAGTGCAGCACAGATAGGAAGTAGATGAAAGTGTCTGCTGAGAAGATTTATTTTTTCAGGTTCAAAAGGTTTGTGTTAACAGATATACAATTGAAAGCGTTCAGATATATATGTGAGACCACAAGGGACCAAATAAGAGATTCATAGTTTGGGGTTACACACCCTTGAACTTGGAAATTATTTATATAGTGCTGTTTCTGTGTTTGCAGGTGATGTAAAGCTATGTAGTTAAATAGTCTTGCAAGATGTCCCTAGCTTATAAACTAGAGCTGAACTTGATGCACTGTGTGATTGGGCATATACACGGCCAGTAAGGTTTAAGGTTGATAAATGTAAAGTTGTGCACTTAAATGCTAAAAACATGCATGCATCAAACCATGTAAGGGTGAGTAAAAGGGGCAAGTCCAATAAAAATCTGGGAGTCCTTGTACATCAGCCTTATAGAGCAAGCAAGATACTTTCTTGTATTCCTAGACTTGAATTCCCCTGAAAGCCTTTGGCTAGTCAAACTAAAGCCTGGCTGAAGTCACTTTAAAAAGTAAAATACATTACATAACGAATGAAGAACAGGAACAAGCTTTATACCAGGTTAACGTTTAAAATTCTAAGTATTTGATTAATTCAGTACTCAAAAAGGCACAATTATTTACATTTTTTTTCTTCCACACCTTTAGAAAAGCAAGCTATGTTCCCTTCAGGGAAAGCAAGCTGACCCGGCTATTCCAGCCCTTCTTTTCTGGTAAGGGTAAGGCTTGTATGATCGTCAACATCAATCAGTGTGCCTCTACATATGATGAAACCCTGCACGTCATGAAGTTTTCTGCTGTTGCTAAACAAGTAAGCATTGGAATTATATAATATGGAAAACTGTTCTCCTTGAGCTATGGTTTATGTGACATTTATGTAGCTTTCTTTGCTGGTATTGGAATAAGCAGGACTCCTAAAGTAATCCAGGTTTCTGCTGGGTGAAAAAGCATAACCATTTAAAAAGAATGGGAGGGGGGTCACCCGTAAGGTCATGCAACCAGCATACGGATATTTCCTGACCTTTTTAATAGGATGTCAAAGGAGTTGAAAGAGGAAAGGGTGCCTCTCCTATTTACCATGCACCCCTCCCCAGTTTTTAAAGGTTGTGTTATAGTGGGGGGGATCTAAACTAAGCCTTTTACCTGGATCACAAATGCTGTGTGGATTTTTTGCCCCAGAATTTTGCAACCCAAGGACATAGTTTTGCCCAACATACACCTTCTGATTTTTTAATTTAAAGGTTGTTCAAGTAATTCAGCCCAGAAACTTTGAGTTCATGGTTCCAAGAATAATTGGAAAAGATGGTAAAGTCATCACAGAGATTGATGCTGATGTGTCTATTGAGGATCTTCTTTCTGAGGATGAAGAGATGGACATGACTGTTATGAGTCCAGAGGTATATGGGTGGTCTAACAAGCAATTTAATGTGTCGGGCAACTGTGTATATTCACTGCACTAGAGTGTTCAAGTACAGTTTTAAAACTATGCTGGGCTGGATGGCTGATATCGGTGTAGTTATAAGGTGGCATCTGAATGGTTAAGGCAGATGCTGGAGTCTAAACTCACGTCTGTAGGCCTCGTATTAATAACCACTGGAGGGTCTGCAGCTTCCTAGAGCCACTCCTGTTTCTATTCTTGTTCATTACAAGTCAAATGCTGTAGATCGGTTCTTACAGCTCTCCCAATGGTTTGTCCAGTCAGGTGATGAAATCAGGTTCCGCATACTTGTCTGTCATATTTTTGAGTATCTACAGTTCTGTACTGGCAGACTGGTCATATACCAACTCCTTGAGTCAGACTTATTCTTTCTATGTAGAATCTGTGCTAAAGAAATTCAGAAAATATTAGCTATTGAGTGGACTTGTGCACAGGTGAGGCAGAAGAACTGTGGGACTGGGGGTGAAGTCGACCAGCTGATACTAATATGGTAGGCTCCTGTGGGCTAAAGAGCACCATAGTGTACTGTGGTGCTGCAGTGATTGGTGGCCATTTTGAATGGTAGGAGGTGTCTTTTAAAGTTGTTTTTTTTGTACTACACCTTTTCACCTAAATGCTACAAATTAGGGGGTATAGGGGTATAAAGTAGGAACTGTAAATGAGGTAATACTTTGAATTTTTGAGTTGAAGGACTGCTGCTCGGTGACTATGGGTTTGTCTATATGAAATGCCATGTCATCAACACCAGGAATCATTAACATTTAGCTTCCTTTTAACAAGCACTTCTGTTTTCTTCTAGCAGTGACTTCTGCCTAGCCCTATAACATTTTCTAAGGCCTGAATGTGTTGGGTCTTTGCATACTATCTTAGATATATTGGGTGCTTTGAAAATTCTTCTCCTGTACTCAAATCAAATAGGTTTGTATCTGATATTCAGTTCGTGATTGATGCCCAATAGGATCTTCTGAGAAAAATTGAAGAACTGAAGGAAAAGCTGATGCATGAAAGACAAAGCAAATTGCTTTTGGAACTGCGGATCAGAAAGGAGATGGGTGAAGCCATGTATCAGCAGATGGTTCATCTTGATGAGACCTGGAGGTACTGTAGTATTTTTAATCTGCATGTGAACATGGAGCAATAGAAAGCTAAACAGTATAAATGTTAGCGCTATCTAAGCAGGGGTCTTACTCCTATTGTAGCTGTATAGTTAGTATTGTACATATTGCCATATATTATGTGCTTGTCATCTGCAATTACTTGTGTATACTTGCCCTGGTTGGTATAACTTTGTATGCCAACACAAGAAGTCAAGGTACTTTGTGATTTGGTATAATCTGGTATGGCACCAAAATACTTGTTTTGTGACATCACAATTGTTTTGCTAATAACATACACCAGGCCAAATATTACTCCTTTTTATGTTGCCTATATTCTCTAGTGGTTGACGCATTAAAAGATCTCCCACACATTAAAGGTAAAAAAAGCATCTGGTCTAATGGTTGGGGAATTGTGGCAGAAAGTAGCTTTGGGAACCTTTTTTACCAAGTAATGAATTCTGTTGCTCAGCTACAAACAGGATTTTTTTTTTTTTAATTCTATGTTTTTTATTGCGGTTACTGTATTTGTTCTGTGATGATGATATAGCTTGTCTAAGCCTAATAATTTACCAGCATTCTATATCCACACTGCTGGCACAAACACAATCAAGGCGGATGTTGATTGTCCGAGGACAGGATAGGAGGTATGAAGTTGTGGAACTACAGTGTTCAAGCTGCATATTTCCATCCTTGGTGTCAGGAAGTCTGCATATGTGTTCAGTCATGTGAATACAGTACAAACATGCCACCACCCTTTTAGAAAGTATCTCACTGTTATAACTTGACCCTAAAATAGGAAGGTGAAATTGACCTTAAAGGGTTAAAATCTACTCCACACATCTGAAAGAAACACTCCTAGAGATGTCAAGATATGCGCTCAGAGAAGGATATAAAAAAAATCTTGCTTTTTAACTGTGCTCTGCAGCACTAGATACACGTATTACAATCCTAAAAAAAATGGCTAAATCAATGTAATGAAAGCAGACGGTGATATTTCCAAAGAGGGAATGAAAGGGAATGTGACATCACTCCATATAAACACATCCTACACATTGTCATGTGGACTTCCTCAGGGGTTTCTAAAAGAGATATGTTAAAGCTGCATTTATAAGTAGAAGACGGATTGTGTTGAAGGTCCCCCACCCATGTTCAGGGGTGGTTGTTTCACTTGGCCGTAGATGACCTCTTGTAAACCAGTTGTCCTCTGTCCAAAATGTGCACCTCACTGTCTTCCAAAGAATATTCAATTTCCTTTCAATGTGTAGGGAAGCTGCAGAGTCTTGACCTATCACATTTTGCCCTCCTATGTTGGGGCATTCCTTTGTTGAAAGTGTGGGGAACAAAACAATGTGCAGGTCTTTGCATTGATCACTGCATTGCATATACAAAATTACTTCACTTGTGTGGATGTACAAATTCACTAATGGTATTGGGCATGAAAGGCAGAAGGATCTTTAGCAAACATCGCATCCCTCTGAGTTTTTCCAACACTCCAGCTACATCATGAAGTTGCTATATTTGTGTTGATTCTCCCCCTTGTCAATATGCCTTGACTTGTTCCATGGTGATTTGGATTAAGGTGTCTGTGCTACCTGTGTGGATATAAATGCTGGGGTATGTTCGCAATACTGACCAGAACTGAAGTGGCTTGGATAAGCTAAGAAACCTTGTCAACATTACAGAACAGGTCTAATTGAATGTGGCAAAATACTGCAAGCTATACCATAACCTGGGTAAATGAGAACCTCACAGACCTACAGTATATTGTATTAACTTTAAGCATAGTGCTTTTTGGTCTGTAGACTTTCATGTCACTTCTACTTTACGCTCTACTCTTCCCTGTACTTATCTGAGCAGGGTAGTATGACTGGATCACCCATATACTGGTCTGCAAAAGAAGTCAGTGAATGGGTATTAAAGTAAAAAAAAAAACAACTTGTCCCTCTACAGTAAGTGTGTGTGAACTTATTGTCACTGGGGGCGTTGTCATTTTGGGATTGCTTTATTACTAGTAAAAGGTTTGAAGACTTTAAAGAGACAACTGAGGAGCAACTGGAAAGCAGGCTAGAAATGTACAAGAAAGCAATAAAGAACCATGCATACCGTCAAGCACTGGAAGACTTGGAGGAGGATTATGTGCCATATGAAGAGTTCCAGGCTGAACAGGAGAAAGTAGAGGTTCGTGCAGAATTTTCCTCTATATTCTCTACAGTCTATAGTTGATTTTGAGTTTAGAGCACAATTGGGAATTCTGTGTGGACACTGCCTTACCTTTTTTATTCACCAACATTAACCATCCATGGTTGAACCATATTTTCCAGGGTAGATGGCCTCTAATGCTTTTGAACATCAACCCTCTGTATCCTACTGGGAATGTCTTAATGCCATGAAGTGTAAACCAAGTACAGCTAACCATGGATGTTCACATAGGCAGAGCATTGGGGCCTGTGTCAATAGGCTTTTGTTCACTGAAATCTGGTTTTACATTCTCACACAAGTCTATGGCAATGCAAAACCTGCTTGAAGCAGATTAGTAGATGGTCAAATGCCCCTGTCAATGAAGACTGATCTTGGAAGCATACCATCAACACAAGACTTTCTACAATCCCCATAAGGCATAGTGGGACATGCTCTTGGCCAGGGCACAGTAGAAATGTTAAAACTTTGTACAAACATACCTGAAAAATGGGGATTAAATGCTGTTTGTAGCGTTACTTTTGCTGCCAAGTCTTGGAAGATGAACAATGCAAGTTGATAAAGGTGACATTACCCTTTTTAAGGATACCACTACTTACTGAAGTAGACATCTAACATTGCAATTTCATTATAGGAGAGAGATGAAAAGATAGAACAACTTGAGATTGCACTTGGTTTGAAGAAAGAGTCTGGTGAAGCCAGTACAGGTACATGCACCCTTTTTAGAAATGTAATTCTTACGATTTTGGTACAGCTACCCTTTACATAACCAGCCAACCCCAAAACCCCTACACTTACCTGTCCCTGCACCTATTTTACCTTGTTTCCCACTGGGAGTCTTAACAGCTTCATGAAGTCTACCAGTTGGGGCAAGTATGCACAGTAGAATCCACATTCATTTCCATAAAAAAGCCCATTCACCATTGAGAGCAACGAAGGCATAAAAAAACTTTCTGCCTATTTTGTTCTAGATTTAAGACTGTGCTGAAAGCCAGACAATTCACCTTTTTCTAGAAGGAGAATTTAGCAATGGCAGCCTACACGTTTGTCTCATGGTTTTCCATTGAAATAACATTTGTTCTAAGAGAAATGCAGACTGACTTTTATCTACTTCTGAAAATGCTAATTGCTTGCATGTGGTGATTTTAAATCGCTGACCTTGCTCCTTCACCGAGATGAGGAACATGGAGATATTTGTTACATTCACTTTCTGCATGCTTGCTCTGGGTCTGACTTTAGAATGAAGTCACACAGCCTGGCAAAACTTTTCTGGAGAGGTCACAAATGGCTGCCTCACTGATTCTAACATGCAAGGGTCCCTTTAAGGGTTCTGGAGACTACAACCTATAGATAAAAGAGAGAAACGGAACGCTATGCCCACAGTTACCCACTGTTGATCCAGAGGAAGGGAAAAAAACCTAAAGCATGGTTCAATATGCTCCAACGGGGGAAATAAGTATTTCCTGGTCCCATAAGGCAATCGGATAGTCCCTGGATCAACAATCTCTGGCTTTTTACTTTTAAAAGTAAATATTTTAAAAGTAAAAAAGTAATATCTAGTCTGTGCATTAAGGAATGAATGCAGATTTTTAATTTAAACTGTTGACTGAGCTAGCTAGAACTATATCCTGGGGAGTCTATTCCACATTTTCACAGCTCTAACTATGTAGAAGCCTTCCCATATGCAAAGGTTAAACCCTCCTTTTCCTCCAGATGCAAAGAATGTCCTTTGCAGTGACCTTTAGGCCTCGTTCACTCCATCAATCGAGTGCGTTCCCAGCTCTATTGCGGCCGGAATGCACTGGATGGCATTGCGGCCTGCTCAGTTTGTTCTGGGGTGGGAAGGGGTGTGGCGGTGCATTGAAGTACCTGGAACCGCAGCCATGCCCTCCAGCTACAATGCGATTGGCCGAACGGGAACACAAGGCACATCAATGCCTACGGTCCGGTCAGAAAAAAAAATAAATAGTGCTTGCAGCATTTTTTCTGATTGGACTGCAGGCATTGATGTGCCTTGCATTCACGTGCGGCAGATCGCATTGCAGACTGAGGATGACTGCGGTTCCATTCACCTCAATGCACTGCCACGCCCCCTGCCGCCCCACAACAAACTGACCCGACCACAATGCCATCTGGTGTGTTCCAGCCACAATGGAGCCAGAACGCACTGTGTGATGATGCGAGTCCTAGAAGTGAATAATTTTGCACCAAGCTCACTAAACGGACCATTTATGCATTTATAAATGTTGATCATATACCCCATTAATTGCCAAAACTGAACTGCATATTCCAGATGAGGTCTTACTAATTTGTGCTAGGACAGGATTAGGTCTGTCTCTGGGGTCTATACCCCTTTTTTTAATACACAGTATTTTGTTTGATTTAGAAACTGCAGCTTGACATTGCATGCCATTAGTGAGTCTATGGTCTACCGAACAGCCAGATCTTCATCATTGACTCCCCATAGTGTATATGAAGCATGCATGTTTATTCCCCAAGTGCATAACTTTACATTTTTCAAATCAAACAGTGCATTCAGGTCTGCTTGTAGGTTGGAGACTTCCTGTATTCCACTACATAGCTTGGTGTCATCTGCAAACACAGAAATGGTACTTTTAATCTCAAACGCTATCATTTTATAAATAACTTAAGCAGCACCTAACAACCTCAAACCATTGAGTATGAATCCTTAATCACCACTCTCTGAATAGGCTCTTTAAGCCAGTTTTCTACCCAATTGCAGACTGAATGCTGTATACCTACTGACCCTAACTTGTACATTAGCTGCCTGTGGGGAACTGTCAAATGCTTTTGCAAAGTCCAAGTATACTATATCCAAAAGCCATTCCTCTGTCCAATGAATTGCTTATTTCCTCATTAAAAAAAAAGTAGATTTGTTTGACAACGTCTTGTGACTCCATGCTCTTATATTTTAAAGCAAAAACAATTGCATGTGTTCCTTTTTTATGAAACTCAAGTATCTTCCCAACTATGGAAGTAAAGCTTACATGTCTGTAATTACTTGGTAAAGGCTTTGATCAGTTTTTAAATATAGGCACCACATTGGCCTTGCGCCTAATCCATTGGCACCAAGCCAGTCATTAGGTAGTCTCTAAAAATTAGTTACAATGGCTTCGAAACTATACAGCTCAATTCTTTGAGGACACGTCTTAAATGGGGAAGGGGGTGGGCTTACACTTTAAATGGCTAGCTTAGTATCATTATTGACTTATTTTGTTGGTTGTCTCCATCAGAAAATAATTCCATGTCTGGAGCCATTGACGCTTTAACCAAACGCAGCCAAGAAAAAGAAAAGGTAAAATATTTAATCTGATATAAACACTTTCAATGTAATATATAACCAATTGGCTTAAATAGTGAGCCATGTAACCCTTTAAGAGACTTGTCTGTATTTTTCTACACTTTGGTAGATAAATCCTACATTTTATACAGCATACAATAGCATATCTAATATAGAGTTCTTTTTTGACAGATCATTGTCAGTCTGAAGCTGCAATTACAGAATATTAAAGATGAAACTGATCTGAACATAAGAAGACTGACTGGAGAAAATGAAATGATGAAGCAGCACCTGAAAATAAAGGTAAAAAAATATATTAAACATGGCAAAATGTTGAATCCTTGTTCAATTGGATAAGTTGATGGATACGGTTTTGTGGAAAAAAGTGTGTGGTTGCTATCCTCCCTCTATCATTTTAAAATACACCTATGATAAAAAATTATAAACCTTTTTTCTTTGTAAGTGGGCAAACTTACAAAATCTGCAGGGGATCAAATAACTTCCTCCAATGTAAAAACTTTCAATGGAATATCTAACCAATCAAAAGGGACCAAATAAGAGAAGTTCATTGTTGCAATGGTTTACTCAAAGCCCATATAAACCTCTGCAATCTCTTTCCTATCAAATGAGAGGTGCAGACAGTCCCTGGGTTACGAACAAGAATGGGACTGTAGGTTTGTTAAGTTGAATTTGTATGCAAGTTGGAACAAGTAACTTTTTTAAGTGTAACTCCAACCCAAATTTGTTTTGGATAGCATAGGGAAGGGTTTACCCCCTGTAATGTTTGTTTTGCTGCGTGTGCCCCTGTTCAGAAGATTTCTGTCCCTGCGACAATTGTATTTTGAAAATTTTGGGTTGTCACGGAAACAAGGATTGGTGATAAAGCTTCAGTGGAGACACCTTTTTACCATGATCACTCTTTACATGAGTGAATTTTCGTTCCTAGGGGTAGATTTCCTTTAACTTCCTGTCCCTAAGACGGGAAGTGAGATTAAATCTTTCTAATGCGGATACAGACAGCGGTAAAAACCTCAGTGACCCGGAAGAAGAGGTTGGCACCCCTCGTGTGCACGTCTAACAAGTGCCAACTTCCTGTAATATATGTACAGTACTACAAACCAGACCCAAAAAGGTGGGCACTCATCGTCTGCACGAGCGTGGCAGCATTACAACTACCCCTGCTGTACAGTAATAGTCTCCGTTTCTAAGTAGGAGTCGTATGTAAATCAGGGACTGCCTGTATTCTGAGGCTTTATTAACTCCTACACTTGAGGTGTTTCTTGGGATTCCTGTGGTAGCAGGAATCGCAAATATGCAGTTTTAGTCCGCTATCCATGTACGCACTATAGATGCGATGATACAATTGCATGTGGATAGCCAGTGGACTGCTGCTTTTAAAAGCCTAATGGGCAACAGCACTTTGCATTACCATCCATATCAGTAATTGTGAGCACGGGTGACTCACCCAGCTCTGCTTCCGACACTTCTTCAGAATTGTGTTACAATTTTATACGCCTGTCCGTTTTATCAGAGTTCTCTTTTCAAACCTCTCTAAACTTTCCAGTCCTTTTATGTGCCACCATACTCTTGAAAGTAAGTGTGATTTATATCGTTGATCCAGAACAACTAAATGCACTTTATCTTGTGTCTGAAAGTCTTTGGCAGATGCTTTTAGGTTGGCTAATCTTTAGGAGTTTTGTGAGATTGATGCTTTAGCTTCCTCTGACATATCCCTTTTTTCTTGATATGAATGGGGAAACTGCTTGTCAACCCTCAGAACCCCAACATGCAGATTTCCACTGCAGTTCAGGTCATTGACTGGGTGAGAACATGCAGCACTGACAAATTACCCTTTTAAAAAAAAAGATGTACTGTGGCCTCTTTGATAAACCAAGGATTTTTTCACTCCAGATGTACTTTCAGAGTTTACCATCTCTCTTGTAATGCCGCCAGATTTCAGGATGGTATCAAAGGGTTTGATTGCTCCTGTACTGAAAATGTATGCTAAAGGCTTTTCCAGGATTGGAGATGTGCTTTCCACATCATAGTTGCCAACAACCCATAGGGATGAGCAAATCCTGCCGGGGTTTGGTTCTTAAACTGTTCAGCAAACCTTGTTTGAAGCGCCCACACTTTGTGGCAAATTCCATTGATTGGCCAATCTTGTCTAGGTCTGACATTGGGGAAATGTACCAAGGCCAAAATAAAAACACAACCATATATCTGCCGGTGCAGCATTATCTCTCTAACAGCACAACAAAACACACTGACAATATGGCTATTGTGAGCCCACACTTTTTATAGAAAGGGGGCATGGTGATCAGTTCCTTCAATTTTTTCCTCTTGTGACTCTGCTAAACAAGGGCAAAGGCTATGCACTGCACTATAGGTTGTTCCCAATTGCTGGTGGTGAACCTGCCAAGTTGTGGTCAAATGATCGCAATTCACTAACTTTGTCAAGCCATGATAGTGGTGAATGAATGTCATCCCTAGTAACCAGCAATAACTGATCAGAAATGTTACTGACCTGACTAGTGTACTGAAGTCTGGTTGCTCTGTGTTACAGAAGCTTACATATTTATATCGAGCACTAAAAAAAAAAAAATGTCCAAGTAGATAATAGGGTTTGATTGACACAAACTAATGCTTGTACAAGTGGACAAACCTTGTGGTAGTGTTCAGTATAGTTCCAGACTACAATAAGGAAGTGTTCTTTCTTGCATTTTGCAGGAACAGGAGGTGCGCGGTCTCCAGAGCCTGGCAGAACGAGCCATTCAGCTAGAGTCCTCTGTGACAGAACTTCAGGCTCAGCTGGATGAAAGCAGGAAGCTTGTGTCGTCAATAGATGTGTGTGAACCAAAGCCTAAGAGGGGCCTGCTTTCTAATATTAGAAATACCATGACCGGCACGCCAAAGAAGACTAAGCCTTGCGAAAAAACAGAGGAAACCACGGGCCCAACAAGGAAAAAACCTTTGCTGTCTCGTAAATGACAAACCTTCCCCTTTTCATTTGTGTGTATTTATTTAGTGTCTGTTTTTTATTCCTATTTATGTAAATAAAATAGTTTTCCAAACTGTTTTTATAATTGAAGTCAACTTTTTAATAAATCGTTTAAGTAAATATAGAATGTCTGTGTGAAACTTATTATCAAGACCAGTTTACAGGAGTGAAACTTGAGCCTAAAGTTTAATAGTACATGCATAGCAGTAATCGGAAGAATATCACCATTGGGTGAAGACCTGGCAGGAGGATAATTGACAACAGCCAAGTGATCCCTGGTTTGGCTTATAAACTTTTCAGCAGCTTCCCAAGGCTGTGCTGTGACTACACAACGCACTTTGGAAACCAAAGGGCATATGTTGATGGGCCTTGACTAGAGGAGCTGAAAAGGTTTTCCTGGGAGTTGAATGTCACTTGATTTTTCACTGTTCCAGGTATAGCATGTTAATTTCTATTTTTAAAATGTCAGGAACCTAAAAACTGGTTGGTCAGGGTTATAGCGAGAGAGTTGCGTGTAAAAACCCATTTCTTGCATTTAGGTTTTCAACATCCTTTTTCCTAAGTAATACAAATGTATAACTTTGTTGTTATCCACATGTTGGAGTGCATTCAGTATTTTACTAGACCATTGTCTCAAGTAATTTTTATATTATAAACACATTGGGGGGGGGGGAGGGTCTAAAGTGTGAGTTTTCAGCAATGGACCATGGCCCATACCTTTTCCACCTATTTTATTTAAAGCAGAACTCTGGTGATTTTTTTTCTCATTAACCCTTGCAGTGTGGCTACTCCTATACTGCAAGAGTTAATTGCTTGTTTTGATCTAGGGCTGAAAATAAGTTACTCACCCAATCATTTGAGCTGGCCAGCTTAAACAGCGCTCCCTCCAGCCTCTCTAAGGCTGCAGCAATGGAATGACCCTCTGCCTCCTCACATCCGATATGGTGTATTGAACATAATGATCTACAGGACCTTTTTAGACAGCTGGGGGAAAGATGCTCCAGGGACCAGTCGAAGAGCAAACCAGCTTGGAGGATTAGGGGAGTATAACTGTTTTCAGCTCTAGCCCAAAATGAGCACTTAACCTTTGCAGTGGGGCTACCCCCACACTGCAAGGGTTAACAGTTTACCTAGAGTTCTTTAAACAGGTTTGTTTTTTGGCTTAGTTTTTTTTTTTTTTCCTATTGGCTTTATATACCTTTTGTGTAATGTATGTTCCATACCATAAACTTCTAATTTTAAAATATGTATCTTTTCCAAGTTACAAATTGCAGTGGAAAACACACATTTACTATTTAGAAGAACAAGAAAAGGGACTAATCTCAATTTACTATTTTTTTTTTTTTTTAATTGAGATTGTAGTCCAAGGGAGCGAGCCTTTTTTTAGTGGTTGAGATAATTGAATGTGTGTTTTAGGTTTAACTCCTGAGTTTAGTATCACTTTAACCCCTTCGTGACTGACGACGTACAGTGTACGTCGCCAGCATCGGGGGCTGTTTAAACAGACTCCCGGCGACTTTTGCCGCCGGGACTCTGTTTAAACTTGTAGAGCCGACTGTCGGCTTTACAACAGAAGCGATCCTGGCGACTTACCTGAAATATTGCGCAACATAAAAATTTTCAACTACCACCATTTTATTCTATAGGGTCTTGGCATTCAGAAAATATATAATGTTGGGGGGTTTTACGTCATTTTCAGGCCTAAAATGTGGAATATAACATGGGTGCAAAAATTGAAAAAAGGGCCTCAGTCATGAAGGGGTTAAGATTGCAATGTCACCAAATAGTTCATTCAACTCTTTGCAATGCAGACCTGTGGGGCTGATGTGAGTTTAGTCTTTACTTAACACCCATTGTGGAATAATGCGTAGGGAAGGATTCAATGTCGACAAACCATTCATACAGCTTGGCTTATACAGCACCATGTACTTGAGGAGGTGAGTGGTTGTACACCTATTTACAAGCAGTGCCCACAGATGAATGATGAGAGCCTCTCCACAATGTTAAGAGTTTGTCACATCACCACCCTTGCTACTATGCGTTTTGGAAGGTTTTATCAAATGCCTGGTAAATGCGAGAAACTCGCCAAACACACTACATAAGCTCAAAAACAGTTCTAGCCATTCAGCAAACAATGAAATACTGCTACATATAGCTTATTAAGTTTATTCACACTATTTTAAATACATGTTAATATCTCTTTAATGTACATACTACAGAGCAAAAAATGTGATACTGCATGCATGTTAAGTCCATATTTGATTATTTAAAACTCTTTGAAATATAAACATTCCTGAGAAAGTTATGTTTAAAACCAACATGAAGGTATAAAAAAAAAAAAGTATCAACAGTGATATAATAATCATTCTGTGGCTTAAATGAAATCTCAAATATATTGCAACTTACCAGTCCTTTAGTTGTTGCTGAATTAGTTTTCTTTTTCAGGCTAAATACATGTTTTAGAAGTACAAAAAAATCCTGCCATAAATCCAGTGTCCTTGTCACACCCTGTGCACTGATTTCATCAGCCTTCCCAGATGTGTTCTGTGAACCACAAACCACCCCATAAGATGGAGAGTGGAAATGTTTGTAGTTCAAATCAGAGGAGCTGTCCAGGGTGAACACACATCTATTTAGCAGTGCCTTCCTAGAACAGGAAGTGTGGAACTGGTAGCACAACCAGGTAAAAAATAAAGGAAATGGAAAACTAATGCAGCCCCTGCAATAGATTTAATTTGTGTATAGGGGATTAACGTGATACTTTTTTCTTCTTGTCTTAAAATGTTCAACAGAGCTACTCCTTTGTGACCACTCCTGCTTTATGGTGGATATGACCATTTGTGCACTGAAGCAGAGAGTTTGAGAACTAGTACAGACATGCCCTATCTACTCCCAACATTGCATGAAAATAATCCTTCCTTTCTGCTTGACCACTTTCCCTCTGCTGTGGAGACAGCACCAGTACTCTTTCACAGGGATCTAGTTTCCAGAGCTAGTCCTGAACAGATCCTGTATCCCATCAACAACCTTCCTTGTCTATTTACCACATTTCCAACCTGGTGCTTTGATGGGTCATGTATCCAGCTGCCTTTATACTAATTCTTCTGTCTGGCCTGCTTCAAACCTTAGCCCACTGGCCGCCTTCTTGTACTTATCCCAAAGAACAGAGTTAGGTGGGGATAAGAGAGTAACACCTGACAAATGAGAGCCAAGGGGTTATTCTCATCTCTCAGGGAAGAGAACAAATGGGAAAACAGGAGCATACTAAAAGACTATAACCTATAAAACATATGGGTGAATTTATTTTTATTGCATATGGGTATAAACCTTTATTAGTATTCAGCACGGTTTGTTTTTTTTGTCGCTTAAAAAGGTGGGATTGTGTGTGTTTTCTTAACCATCAAGAAGCAGGAGGTGTCTGACTGAACAAAGCAATTTGTCTAATTAAATATAGACAGTATGATTCCTTAAATAGTTGCAGTCTCACATATACTGCTCTACAGGGAATAACAATGTGCATGCAAACATACTGGTATGTTTGGTCAGTAAAAGCTGTTTGTTCCTGTAAATCACATGAAAGCCTAAATTGGCTTACGCCTGGCGGAAGTGGCTATTTTGGTTGATCTGATATCTGTATTTTCATTAATGAATGCAGCTTTCTCCACGCTGAGCAGGTAAACAATGCACTTTAAGAAGTGTACCACTTTCATCAATTAAATACTAGAAGATGCAGAAAATATATACAAGTCTTTTGTGTATGTTTTCATAGCTTGCAAGAGTCTGGTGCCAACGAGCACATGGAATGCTACTGCCATGCTGTATGCTTCATAGCCAATGTACACGCTGGCCGTGGTTATTCAGAATTTTAGGTTTCCCAGCTGTATGGACCAAAGAGAAAGGGAATAACCTGCTCAGTCAGTTCTGGCACATCATAGTAAACTTAATATCTTGTCCAGAATCTAAGGTTGCTGTTGATACTGGCTTTCTGTAGCTGTGTAGAAGTCATCAAGAACACTCTGTAAATAATCAAATGTGGGTCTTTCTTCAGCTTTCTCTTTCCAGCACTGTTTCATAACCTCGTATAACTCTTCGGGGCAGTTCTCCATCCGGGGCATCCGGTAGCCCCGCTGCAGTGCCGACATCACATCTGCATTGCTCATTCCTAAGAAATAGGAAAAAATAAATCAAACTCTCCACATAACTGCATTACAGCTTCATTGCACTTTCTGAGCTTAGGTTAAGTCCACTCATCCTATAAATACCTGAATACTGTCACCTCTTTCTTTTCACTCATCCTACAAATAACGGAATACTGTCACCTTTTTGCTTTTCACTCATCCTAAAAACCTATGAAAACTACAAACCGTAATCATTTAGTAAATGTTGGCTGCAAAGTTTCACAAACCTGGGCGATTTAATCTGAGTATACCATGAAAAATGCATTTAGTCTTAACTTTTCCGGTAAAAGCCAAACTTCACTGCACACCCAGCCACATTCCTGGATCCTTGCTGTTCCTTGGATCCTGGCTGTTGGTCCTTTTTAATGTGATAAAAAGGCTAACACACTGATATGGAGGCTTGGGAGAAGCCTCCAAATCAAACTATGCACCTGAGGTCATCCTGCTTTTATCTCTCGATCTATTGACTGTTCAGACATGCAGTTTCATTTAATAAAAGTGTGTATATATATAT